TTAGACAGCAAAAAGGTCAAGAAGCAGTGGACGAGGTGAACAGAAGAAAAAATTAATTCGTCAAAGTTCTATAAGAAATCTCAACCCTTTTATGTTTGAAGGCAAAATCCGCGTGGGAGGACGTTTGCAGTTATCATGTTTACCATTTGAAACCAAATATCCGATTATTCTTCCTAATAATCATTTTGTTACAGATATGATTATAATGCGTTATCATGTGATTAACGCACATGTTGGAGTTACTCAAACTCTGAGTAGTATTCGTGAGAAGTATTGGATTGTTAGAGGATATTCTACTGTTCGGAAGGTTCTAAAACGATGCTATTTATGTAGAAGACTTTATCCTAAACCATGTTCCCAATTAATGGCACCGTTGCCGGAATACCGAGTAGAGATTCATTCGCCACCCTTTAGTCAAGTAGGCGTGGATTACTTCGGACCGTTCTATGCCAAACGTGGTAGAGTTGTCGAGAAGCGTTATGGCTGTTTATTCACCTGCTTATCTATTAGAGCCGTTCACATCGAAATGGCCTACTCTTTAGATACGGATTCATTTCTATGCGCATTATCAAGATTTATTGCCAGAAGAGGATGTCCAAAGCGTATTTTTAGTGATAACGGCACAAACTTCCGAGGTGCAGATGTCAGTTTGAGACAGATTATACGCTCTTGGAATACTAATAAAATAGAAAACCATCTTAAAGAACGAGAATGTGAGTGGCGTTTTAACCCACCTAGAGCAAGTCATCAAGGTGGTGTGTGGGAACGCATCATAAGATCAATTAGAAGAATCTTAAGAGTGCTTTTATTCCAAAACGTGTTGACCGATGAAACTCTGCAAACCTTTTTAACTGAGGCGGAACGGATACTGAATGACAGACCTCTGGTTAAGATGACAGATGACCGCGGTACCCTAGAAGCTCTTACTCCGAACAAGTTGTTGTTGATTCATAAAAAATTATCATTTGACGATGCTTCGGTGGATAAGACGTTATTATACAACAAAAGATGGAAAGAAGCCCAAAGACTAACCACCGCATTCTGGAATAGATGGATAAAAGAATATTTACAGACTCTCCAAGCAAGAGACAAATGGTTGGACGTACACAAGAACTTACAACCGGGTGACTTAGTCCTCGTTAGTAACGTCGAAATGAATAGAGGTCTATGGCCTAAGGCTATAGTCGAGCAAGTAAGCTATGGCCCGGACGGACGAGTCCGCACGGCAAAGTTAAGAACTTCAAACGAAGAAATCGTCAGAGATGTGCGAAGCCTATGTCTGCTGGAAGAAGCCGGTTGTCTGACGGCGACGACGGCCCTGGACAATGGACGTGGTGCGCGTTTCGGGGGGAGTGTAAAATGTGATCGATAAACGAACCCACCAATAATAAAGGGAAACGCCCACCACCACATTAACTCCTTTTGACCTTGTACGACTGTATCTCCTTATTAACCAATCACAGTTTAATGTTCATTGTAAAACAATATTTGCTTGTTGACTCATTTTTCCTATTCTCTGGCTACTGTTCGGTATGTTATGTGTCCCTGTTTTTCCCTGTATTAGTAGACTGTACTGTTCGTTTGCACACTAACGATGTTAATTTATGTTTTAGAAACAGATAAAGTTTATATAGCCAAATAGCTTACTTGTTCTGACTTTGGCCAAACCAAGACTCTGTACTCGACAGTCTAGAGATTAGTTTAGAGTTGAATCTGTGGGAAATTGCTTCCTACAGTTGAAATCATAAGTCAATTGAAGCTAGACCACTATAGAAAACCTTGAAGCACTGGATAGTCGTTTCGTCCTATTGTGAGACTCCTCAGCTTCAATCACAAAACCCCTTTCTGATATATATCAAAATGTATCAACTACTTTTTTAAGATAAAAATGGAAAATATACGCATAGATAAACAGTACAATCATCAATATGTACACATAGATCAATATATATTCAGTATAAAAATATTCACTTCAAAAGTCAACAGATAGACTGTTTACTATTGTATATAAGGGTGCATAAACAAATGCTATATTTTAAAGCAATTAGTCCTTTTTTTCTAAATTTCGATAGAACAATGAGAAGATGGAGTTGATCTGATGAATATGGGGATGTATTTGTGCTACATACATTTCGAACAATCTGATCACACATATATACATGTCAGGGTATTTTATATAAGAATTAATAAAGGTCTATTTTAAATGAAAGTTCAAGCAAAAAATTAATAAAAAAAATCAACAAAAATAACGGAGGGGAGAGATTTCACTGGTAGAAATCATGAATCAATTGAAGCTAGACCACCATGGAAAATCTGGAGGCTCTGGATGGCCGTTTTGTCCTAGTATGCGACTCCTTAACCAGTGAAATTTCTAAAAAATCTCCACAAAACCCAATCTGATAATAATCGCCTGCTCATTAGTGACTTACTTCAGGAGATACGCCTGAAGTTTTAGTGAGAAGCCGTTACCAGTGGAGTTCAACCAGGTCTGTTGTGAAATATCAACTCACTGAAGACAATGGTGTACGATGGCGCAACTTCGTGGATTGGTTGAAGTAAGAAATTAAAACCGTTGGATGACGGCTCACTGGTCTAGTTGGTTAAGCGCCTGGCGCGAGACTGATAGGTACTGAGTTCGAGTCTCGCGGGGGGTGGGGTCGTGGATGCGCACTGCTGAAGAGTCCCATACTAGGACGAGACGGCCGTTTAGTGCTTCCAGGTTTTCTCCACAGAACCCATCCTGATAAAAAGGATCGAAACAATTCTACATATGTAACAAATTGTCGCGTTATCCTAGGTCATAGAATGACTTAAGGATTACCAAGATAACTTCAAGGTTACGACAAATTGTTTTTGTATGTATAAAAGAGGGGGTTCAAATTTCTATAGTGTTAACAATAACAATGTCTATTGAAATAATGAGTGATAATATCAACATTGGTATACTACTGTCTTAAAGTAGTCGAATAGTTAAAAATAAATATGAAGACAATAAAATATGATCTTCAATATCTTCAGCTGTCATGTAGAAGATTTGGTTTAGATGTCAAATTTCTTTGGAGTGAATCGTTAAAAAAAGATTATTTACCAAATGTACATATGTTTATGTACTTAAGTTTTAGGTATACGTCAATTTTTTTATGGAGATTCATGGTACTGAAGTGAATGAGAACTCAGTTGGGGAATACAAATTTATTATTGAATGTAAAATTAAACAGTAACTTCGTAAAATATGAAAATTATTCATTAAATACATTAACTGCACATCTTCCTTCGGTTATCCTTTACAAACATTATGATTCTTTCAATTCTGTTGTTATTACAACTGATCCCTATTTTAGTTTCTGTTCTCTTAAATTCAATTCAATTCAGCATAAACTACACTCGTCATCCGTTTAAACGGGAGTCACTTTCGCGTTCATTCTGCTGACCGTACCGTTCACTTCTCTGGTACAATCTGTCCCACGCCTCACATCGACATGTCCAGTCGACCAGCGTGCTGACCTCCAGAGTGATGTCGACCAACCGCACCGTCTACATTTCCTGTTCGTTCAGCAACCATAGTTCTCACTTCATAGCTTCAACAACAGCGATCGCTACACCTAACACCGCTCCGCCATAACACTCTATTAGATGTTTCCACCGAAGTCGACGTTTCAATATGGTGACACCAGTTGCATTATCGTCCCTGTGCCCGAACACACGATGCCGAACCTCTGCATTACTAACATGGTGTTGCCACTGGATGTCAGCAATCCTTCGGAGACAACGACGATCAAACACAGAGAGCCGTCTAACATCCTCAACTCGGAAAATCCACGTTTCACAAGCATAGAACAGAACTGCTCTCACCGACGCGTTGGAGATCCGACCATTTACAGCTTGGTTTGTATAAGCCGCTCTGGCTTTCACTATACGTTCACTGATCTCATCACTCACACCCCCACCACCAGTTATGCAGATACCTAGACACACAAACTTCTCGACTACTTCTGTCTGCTCACCGTCCGGCTGAGTACAGGATTAGAATCCTGCCAGTCTTGTAGAAGTACTTTGCACTTCGAAGGTGCAAAGCACATACCGTACCTATCGACATTGATTGCCAACTGATTAAGTGAGGATTGCATGGCTTGAGCATTATCGCACAGTAAGACAATATCATCCGCATACTCAAAGTCGAGAAGTCTTTCTCCAGGCAACAGATCCACACCACCATTACTTACATCCATCAGGGCTGTTGGTGAGGTTGGGCAACGCTGTCTGAACTGACTGCTCGAATGGAACAATGGAGAAAGGTGGTTGTATGCCCTCACTCTACCTGAGATGTTTGCATATAGGGCCTTTAAGATGTTAATAAAATTCTCAGGCACACCCTTCTTCAAATAAAATGAAAATGACGATATTTACTGAATAAATTCTATTCTTGCATCGAATTATTGTTAAGAGTAATAAAAAGGAATTATATTTATAAAAATCCCAGTAATTAATTGAAATTAAAATAGTTGAGGACGAACTTCTTCAGGGAAATCATTAAATCCCAAAAATTATCGAATTTATTTTATATTTATTTAATTGAACACATAAATATTGATACAAATGGGCACCAACTACATATGCACCACACAAGTCACTTGAATTGTGTATGATCTGTGATACTGCCCGATTGCCCAAACCGAAGCAGTTGATTTTCTTAGTACGCTACACCCGGGGCCTTTGTATTAAAACACAAACTATTTAAATGTATGAACATTGTTGAATGTGTAAAATTAGTTGTGGTGTTGATGAGAGTTATTTGATTTGAAATTATCCTAAGATAAAAGCTGATTAAAGTATGCATGTAGATGACATTTTTACCATTAAAATGAACTTGGAATCAGTTGCTTAGCTAGACGTAAGAATGTCTACAATACAATAAAATCTGGGTAATTTCATATATTTTCCCAAACATTTGATATATCACCTCTCATACTTATATTTAAAAGAATATTAAAATGGATTACCTTTGAAATCGTGTAATTCATTGTTTTGTCCACTGGAAGGTCCTGTGCAAGGAAGTCGTCTTGAATGAGAAACGCAACTTTTATGTACTTTGATTCTATGTACAGAGATTTTTTTAGAAAAAAGTCAAATAATTGTGTATAGTGTTACAATAACAAGTCAAGACAATGAAATATAATATTAAGCAAGTTATTTGTACACTCAATAATAAAAATAAAGCGAATTTAGAGGAGAAAATTTTCACTTTACGATGAAATCATTTACTTAAGCTGTACCTTCGTATTTATAGTTGTATGGTAAATATATGAGTCTATAGAAGGATAGAAAAGATTGCGTCATCAAAAGATTCGAGACTTCAATTATCAAATGAGGTTGAATAAGGATCAAAGGGTTAGAGAAGAGTAAGGGAGTGAAAATAATTTACAGGTTAGAAATATGAGAGATAATTGTTCACTTGACAGATATACAAAAAACTGAAAAACGTGAAGGTCATAATAACAATTGAATAATATCAGTTTAGGGTTGTAGAGTTTTGATCGAGATCACGAATCAATTCAACGTTAGACCACCATTGAAAACTTGGAAGCACTGGACAGCCGCGTTTTTGTAGTTTGGGATCATGAATGCACACTACTGAGGAGTCCCAAACTAGGACGAAACGACCGTCCAATGATTCCAGGTTTCCAATGGCGGTCTAATACTGATCGACTCATGATCTCAATCAAAATTTAACAATAATCATGAAAAATTTATTAATTACAGTATCTCATAGTCACAGCCACTTTTGACTTGATCTTGTATAATGATTATTTTTCGTTTTATCTTGTTATGTGGTCTGGTCTGCTTGTATATAAATTACGTATGTCTGAAATATACGATTCACACAACGGAAGCTGATATTTGTGTTCTGAACTGAATAGGCTGAGCTAGTTGATAGGCTACTCCAAGGAGGATCAATAAGGTCTCAGAGTTGACTCAAGGCTTCTCGTGCCGGTCAACGCATCATTGGTTTAGCACAGAGACAGGGTGATAGCAGTCTATATTCTGATTGGCGATTTCGCCAAGTGATATTTGGCGGGTTATAGGACATAACAGGTGCAACTAGTGTACTTTTTATAGTAAAATATAACAGTGCGTGTACATCATCATTTTTTAAGTAAAGTAATATATTAGCACACTTACTTGCAGTAAGCACAATGTTGTAGACGAAATCGCATTCGATTATTACAAACAGCGCATGGAGTACCTTTAACAAAATCACCAAATTTAGATTCTAATTCGAATCTGTGAAACGGAAAAATTGTGAAATAACATGTTAAACAAGTGTCACATGTTATATAAATATATATAGCCATACTGTGGTGTTTGCTACTTATATTGACATAAGTAGTATATGATGTTATCCGTGAAAAGAAGGTCTGGCAGCAGGATCAAGCAGTAAAGAATAAAAACAGGATGCAATTTGTATGAAAATGCAAAAACAATGAAGTCTGAGTCATTTTGAGACAACTGGTGGACATTTTGCAAATTAAGCATTTACTTTATGATTGTTAGATTTTATTAACAAGTCCTGTTATTTTGTATTAAATACATTCGATTGTCCCCACTGGTGTTCCTGTTCACTACAATATTATTAATATCAAACTATACGTAGATGAAGAAATTCAGTTTCACTGAGAAGCTGTCACCAGTGAAGTTCAAAATTGTGTTTGGAGTGAGACAATCATATCAATAATGGCAATAAGTAGTGGTTAGAAATGTTGGATACCAACTCAGTGGCCTGCAAGTTAAGCGCTAGATGCGAGGCCTGAAGATTCAGGTTTCGGTGCCAGGTGTGGTCGTGAATCCCCACAGGTGAAGAGTTTTATACCAAAATGAGGCAGCTATTCAGTGATCCCTGGTTTTCTATGGTTGTCTAACCAAAGTCATTCAGTAATGTAAAATTACGACATGAAGATAGTTTATAAACGAATAATCAAATGATCTACAGTTGGTTCGTCAAACAAACACTTTCGAATTTCACAATTAAACTTTTAAAAAAGCCGACTAAATGAACCTGACAAACATATGACATAAAACGTTTAGTAAACTCAATTACATGGAAATCTCAATTTCGGTTACCAGTGTGAACTTTAAACACTGTTTTAACAGCTGGTTGATTTCCCTATGATTAGCTTTTAGTTTTAACAAACTCTTTGAATAATACTATGAAGTTCGACTTTGAACTATGGGAGTTCTGTATTTTGAAGAGAGCAAAAGATTCCTTCAGACCGTGACAGAATCCAATACACATATATCTACTCATTTTTTTTACTATTAAATGGCTAATTCACTAAGCAAGTGCCAAGTTGTATACGACTACTACGAAAATACACATATCTGTTAAACACAAATATAGACACTAACTCACTTGTGCATAAATCCACTTGCACTGAGAACAAATGTGGCCCCACCTGAGTTAGTCGGAACATTAAGGACACCTAGATTTAAATGAAAGCATGTCTAATTACTTCAAATACAAAATTAACAAACTAGAGATGTTTATGGATACTCATTTAATCTACTGGCTAAAGTAAGTCATAGCTTAGAACTAATCAGAAATAAAATATCTCCTTGATTGTTGCAAAAACGGCAACTAACTTATGCCTCATTCACATGTTAGTAAAATTTACATCTATTCGGTTCTTGATACGCTCAAAACTGATAAACATATATCCGTTGTGCAAAAATACAGTGAGTATGATCTGGTGTAGAACCTACATTACGAAAAACACTGGTAACTCTTGATATAAAGTGTATCTGTAACAAAAACTACACGTGCAGTGTATTATATGTGATTCCGGGTATAATCAAGAGTGTTTTGTATGTCTCTCAAGGTACTCCGTATACGAAGTTAGAACTACGTATCTATTGTAATTGTATTACATTTATATCACACCCGACCGTGGCTGCTACCTTGACGCGGTGGTGGGGCTTGCCTATCGTGATGACCCAACCGAGCTATATTGGCTGGAACATATGTTCCTGTAGGTTCTACCATGCCAGGCAGGTCTATTGGAGAACGGTAAGACTAAAAGCAGCAACTCAAGGTCTGAGGGCGAATTCGTACTGCTGACTGTAGAGGAGTATGACAGCAGTAAGGTGTTTCCCTCGGACAACCAGCATCTGCAGCGATGCTGCCTTCTCACAAGGAAAGAAGGGGTTAGAAAAGGTTGACCCTAAAAATGTCACACCTCACCTTACCTCACGGATTTCCGTCTCCAGCGGTAAGACCCTTTGAAGAACGGAGCTAACACCCTAAAAACCTCTCACGAAAAGTGTGTGCACGACCGGCCTCAAGCAGTTGTCCCTGAGGCTCTGCCGTCACGCCCCCACGTCGTTAAGACCAACATTAATCCAACTTCCTTTTCAGGTTCCTCAAGAAATACCTTTCTACGTTGTGGGCAGCCGGGAAGTGACATCAGCCCTCATACCCGTAACAGCACACGAGACAAAGTTGGTTACATTCAAATCCCTTCTACACCTCCAGATAAATCCCTTATCTCCACGACTAACTCGCTTCATGTTCTTTTATCACCTCGCACCGCTAGAGCAAACGATTCGAGTACGCGGAACGTTATTCCTGGTCTCCTGAAACCACGCTCTAAACTTCATGTTGAAGCTTATAACGTCCGAACACTGTGCCAAATAGGACAACAGGCTTCCTTTGCTAGGACTTTAGAACCTCGCGCCATCGATCTGTGCCGCGTCTTCGAAACACGCATACAGGATCCGAGTAGAGTCATTCATTTGACATCAACATGTCAAAACAAACAACCAACTCGATTCACACTTCGTGTATCTGGAAGCCCAGATGCTGCTTCCCGTGGTCTCACCGGCGTAGGTATACCATTGAACCCTGGGGCAGAACTAGCTCACTTAGACTGGATCCCAGTAGACAGTCGTTTGTGCGCTGTCCGACTAAACCGAACAGTAAGGACTCGGAAAGGTAGGGACACTCGTCGTCTCGGCCTATTCTCCCAATGACTGCAGCTCAGATGATGTAAAAGATGAGTTTTACAGAAAGCTTTCCGACCTTGTCCGAAAAGCTAGGCGCTCGGATGTAGTAATAGTGGCTAGTGACTTTATTGCTCAAGTAGGCAAACTAAGCGAAAGGGAAAGACACCTGGGTAGATCTTATAGTGTCGTGGCTCAAAGAACAGATAATGAAGACCGTCTGTTGTATCTACGCTCAGATAACCGCCTGCTTCTTGCAAATACTAACTTTAAGCATAAGCAAAACATCTTTGAACATGGAGACCTCCCAATTCGTCCCAACGTTGGACCCAAATAAATCACATCTCCATCAGCCACCGATGGAGGGGTTCGGTAGAAGACTGTCGCTCATTCTAGAGCACATGCTTAGATTCAGATCATGCTCTAGTACGAGCGCGTATTTGTCTGTGTCTTACTGGACGTAGGAAAGACACTGCAAGGAAACATCTTAGGGTCCTACTTAATGATAGTCAAGCCCAGAGTATATTTCAGGAACAACTAGGAAAACAGTTAGGTAGCCATGTATGTGATGCCCACCCCGAGGCAGCATGGAATGATATCCGAAAAGTTGTGGAAACAGCAGATTAGGGAGAAACACTAGATCTCAGCAGCATCTACCGCACTGATAAATGCTCGAAAACTCATTCCATCTGGCTCCGAACATGACGAAGAGCGGATACAGCTTTAAACGCAAGCTGACTAGAAGCCTATGCAATGATTGTGAACAGTGGTGGGTAACGAAAGCAAGAGAGATGGAAAAAGCAGCGGCGATAAGTAATAGCAGATAATTGTTCAGACTTGCTAAGGAAACCGGTATTAAAAAACCGACTGTTAGCGAAACAATCTCAGAAAAAGATGGACATATTATACATTCTCAATCCAGGAGATTGGATTGATGGGCAGAACACTTTAGGGATCAGTTCAACTGGCCTTCAGCTACACTTCGGTTTCCCACGATCTCCAGTTAACCTGAATGGCAAGTTAATGTAGGTCCTCCGTCTCTTTACGAAGTTGAAAAAGCCATAGGAAATCTGAAGCGAGGGAGAGCAGCAGGTCCTGACAGGTTTACTCCCGAGATTTATAAGGATGGTGGTTCAGTATTAGCAGTGAGTAACAGAAGTCTTAGGTAGAATTCGGTAACTGGACGTAATCCCATCTGACTGGTCTCAATGACTGACTGTGCCAGTCTATAAGAAAGGACAAAAGTCCTCTTATGACAATCACAGAGGAATCAGTTTGACTAATATAGTGTCTAAAATATTAGCTTCAATAATACTTCGACGCCTAATCAAAGCTCGTGAAGAACAGACTGGAGAAAATCAGGCTGGTTTTCGACCTGGACGTGGTTGTATAGATCAGATATTCACACTACGTCAGGTTCTAGAACACAGACACACATTCAGACGACCCACAATCGTAGTTTTTCTCGACCTTAAAGCAGCATTCGACTCTGTCGAACGTGATGATGTGCTTTTAGAGATAACACCTACCTCATCTAAATTTACAGGGGTTGAACTTCTACCGGGAGATTCACTTGTTGACTTGGAATGTGCCGATGACATAGTTTTATTTGGTGAAGACGCTGACAAAATGCAGAGTCTTCAGACCAATCTAAGCAACAATGCAAACATACTTGGGATGCGATTCTCCACCTCGAAATGCAAAATGTTGCTTCAGGATTGGGTTGCATTAACACCCAAACTAATGATAGGGAGTGAAGTAGTTGAGAGTGTCGACCGCTTCACTTATCTTGGAAGTCTTATTAGCCTTTATGGTCTGGTGTGTGATGAAATCTCAGCACAGATACAGAAGGCTCGACTAGATTTTGCCGATTTGCGTCATTTATGGCGTAGACGAGATATCCGTCTACCAGCCAAAGGACGTGTTTACTGCGCAGCAGTTCGTTCTTTCCTACTTCATGGGAGTGGAACGTGGCCAATAAGAGTAGAGGATATCCGTAGGTTGGGAGAAAGTTAGGGTTGGCCAGACCAAGACATAGTACCAGTCCATGAGTTCACTGACAAGCGGAGTGATTCATATTGGTAGGTGTAGACTACCTGGTTTGGGACCGCGAGATGATAGCAACCGGTGTTTTGAGACCCTGAATGACATAGCCCAAAATCGTCTGCAATGGCGCAAGAGCATCCACTCTTTGTGTTCCCTCAAATTCTAATCTTCTGAATTCTTCATGTCCCTTATTTTCTTTCCAAATTTATTTCACTGGATTATACTCCTTCAATAACATCTTCAAACCCTAATTTTTCTGATCACAGCTTATGATTTTACTACATCTAGCACTACTGGATTTGAATTGACCACTGCATCTCTGTGCTAATGTGGTGTGGCAACTCGAACTGATGTACGCACGTACGAAGTTCTACGTTGTTACTGACTGACTGACATTTATATCACAATTTGGATTATAACTAAGATCACTTCTGACTGCTTGAAAAGTGATTCTAGGTCATACCACAGTATATTTTAGTTAACTCTTTTGAAAGCTCTAAATACTAGGAGACAAAACCTTGTGTGGAAAACAAAAACGAACAATTATACTTTCCGTTTCACTTAAGAACTGATCTATGTTGGACAACCATTAAAATTCTATATGCACAAGACGACCATTTAGTATCAGTATGAAACTTCTCAGCAGTGCGCATCCACAATCACACAATAAGGATTGCATTGTTATTCAGGTTTCATTGCCATATACATAAACATTGATAAACGTATATGAAAATGAAAAACCAGACAAGGCAACTTATAAGTTCATCATCAAAATGTAATGGACTAGACAACTACATACAGTGTGAAAGTATTAACTGCATGATAAAAAGAGAGATTTACTAGTAGAAATGATAAGAGTAGTGGAATAATAAAAATTCCAGTTACCCAAAACCATAATCGAAAATGTACAAGTATTTATAAACAATTGTCTGCTCAAGATAATCAATATTCATTGACCGAATACCGTCAGCAACATTCTACTGTGAGAGAGAACAAACTAGCCTCCAAATAAGGAGGAAATTAACAAGAGATGTAAGAAGTGAATAGGACATGTATTACGGAAATCATCAAAATGCATCACGAGGCAAGTATAAATCGATAGTAAAAAGATAGATTCTCGTGTTCATTGTAAGAATAGTGAAATGATTAAAGTTCCAGGCAATAGTCCAACATGAAAAGTAGGCTACACTTAGAACAATATACTTCGAAAAGTTGCATAATTAAAAGTGTGTGAATATTCAGATATTAAAGGCTATAGACGAAAAGATTTGAAGAATTATGAACAAGTACAGGTTATAAAATTAATTGATAATAAAATCGTGTGATCGGTAATTTCAGACTGAGGAAGCGACCAAAATGTCAGAACTTTATTTGGAATCTAATAGATTATTTTATTTGTCAATACTTGAACACAGAAACATTGGTACAAAGGTGCACC